TGTGAGTTCAGAGAAGGTTCATTATATTTATTCTGGAGATGAAAGCTTTGTCTTAAAGGTGAGAATGAACAGTTTAGGCTTATACTTTACTCGAGTTTAGAAGGAAGAGGGGAGAGGTACATTGAGGTGCATAAGATGCTAAAGGTAATTGACAAAGTAGACAAAAAGCGGATGTTTTGTCTTGTGGGGAATTCTAAAATGAGAAGTCAGTTTAAAGCTTAGTTGAAACAGAGATGAGGAGGAATTACATCTCTTACATGATCCTGAATCTGTAGAATTCATTTCCAAGCGTGCAGTGGACATTGGGACACTGACAAATTTAAGGAAAAGATAAACAGATTTTTAATTAGTGATAGGTTAAAGGGTTATGGGAAACAGGCAGAAAACTGGAGTTGAGGCTGAGATGAGATCAGCCATGACTGTATTAAATGACAGCAGGCTCAAGGAGCTGAATTGCCTATTCCTGCTCCTAGTTCTTAGTTATTTGTATATTCATGTCTACTTGCTCTGTGATACTGTATGATGCAGCAATAAAGCTCTGCATTATCACAGTCTCACTGACCGTGACATAGAAACAAAGAAGATAGGAGCAGGAGGAGGCCATTTGGTCCATCGAACCTGCTCCGCCATTCTTCATGATCATGGCCGATGGTCCAACTCAATAGCCTAATCCTGCTTTCTCCCCATAACCTTTGATCCCATTCACCCCAAGTGCTACATCTGGTCGTCTCTTGAATACATTCAATGTCTTGGCATCAATTACTTTCTGTGGTAATGAATTCCACAGACTCACCACTTTTTGGGTTAAGAAATGTCTCCTCATCTCCGTCCTAAATTGCCTACCCTGAATCCTCAGACCGTGACCCCTGGTTCTGGACACACCCACCATTAGGAACATCCTCCCTGCATCTACCCTGTACAGTCCTGTTTGAATTTTACAAGTTTCTATGAGATCCCCCCTCATTCGTCTGAACTCCAACGAAAACAATCCCAACCTAGTCAATCTCTCCTCATATGTCAGACCCACCATCTCCAGAATCAGGCAGGTAAACTTTTGCTGCTCTTTCTCGACAGCAAGAGCATCTTTCCTCAAAAAAGGAGACCAAAACTGCACACAATATTCCAGGTGTGGTCTCACCAAAGCCCTGTACAACTGCAACAACACATCCCTGATCCTGTTCTCAAAACCTCTCGCAATGAAGGCCAACATACCATTTGCTTTCTTTACTGTATGCTGTACCTGCATGCTTATCTTCAGCGACTGGTGCACAAAGACACCCAGGTCCCGCTGCACATTCCCCTCTCCCAATTTACAGCCATTCAGGTAGTAACTGCCTTCTTGCTGTTGCTTCTGAAGTGAATAACCTCACATTTATCCAAATTATACTGCATCTGCCATTGATTCTCCCACTCACCCAACCTGTCGAGATCATGCTCAAGGATCTCTGCATCCTCATCACATTCACCCTCCCACCCAACTTGGTATCACCTGCAAACTTGGAAATGTTACATTTTGTTCCCTCGTCCAAATCATTAATATATATTGTAAATAGCTGGGGTCCCAGCACCGATCCCTGTGGCACCCCACTAGTTACTGTCTGCCAATTTGAAAAGGACCCATTAATTCCTACTCTTTGTTTCCTCTCTGCCAACCAGTTTCCTATCCATCTCAATACCACTTCCCCCAATCCCATGCGCTTTAATCTTGCATCACTTTGTCAAACGCTTTCTGAAAGTCCAAATATTCTACTTCGACTGGCTCCCCCTTGTCAACTTTACTAGTTACACCTTCATAGAATTCCAACAGGTTTGTCAAGCATGATTTCCCCTTCATAAATCCATGCTGACTCTGTCTGATCCTGCCACTGCTTTCTAAATGCTCTGCTATAAAATCCTTGACAATAGATTCGAGGATTCTCCCCACTACCATTGTTGGGCTCACCAGTCTTTAATTCCCTGTTTTCTCTCTACATCCTTTTTTGAATATTGGAATGACATTAGCCACCTTCCAATGTGCAGGGACTGTTCCAGAGCCTATAGAATCGTGGAAGATGACCACCAATGCATCCACTATTTCTAGAGCTACTTACCTAAGTACTTTGAGATGTGGGTTATCAGGACCCAGGGGTTTATCGGCCTTCAATCCCAACAATTTTCCCAGCACCATTTCTCTACTAATATTGATTTCCCTCAGCTCTTCTCTCTCACTAAATCTTGCCTCCTCCAAGAATTCTGGCATCTGATTTATGTCCTCTTTTGTGAAGACAGAACCAAAGTATGTATGCAGTTCCTCAGCCATTTCTTTGTCCCCTATTAAACATTCCCCTGTTTCTGTCTGTAGGGACCTATATTTGTTTTTACCAATCTCCTTCTCTTCATGTACCTATAGAAACTCTTAGTGTCAGTCTTTATGACAAGCTTAGTTTTGTGCTCTATTTTCCCCTTCTTAAACAATCCCTTGGTCTTTCTTTGCTAAATTCTAAACTGCTCCCAATCCTCAGATTTATTATTTTTTTTTTAGCCAAGCTGTATGGTTCTTCCTTGGATTGGATACTATCTCTGATTTCCTTTGTAAGCCATGGATTGGCTCTCTTACCCATTTTGCTTTTGCGACAGACGGGAATAAACAGTTGCTGCAGTTCCCCCATGTGTTTCTTGAATGTTTGCCATTGCCCATCCACTGTCATCCCTTTAAGTAATTCTCCCCAATCTATCAAGGCCAACTCATGCCTCATATCCTCGTAGTTTCCTTTATTAAGGTTCATCATCCTAGGCTCCAAATCACCAACCTCACTCTCCATCTTGATAAAAAAATTCTATCATGTTACGGTCGCCATATGTATTGTGACATAACTAATTCTATAAGAGTTCCAGACGTCCATTTCAAAATAAATTAACAGGCACACAAGGGTTTTGTTTTATATTTAGCTCACTGGGTCACTTTCTATGTCTTGTTGAATTGGACTCCAAAACAATCACCAATAGCAGTTGATACATGAACTCGAATCACAGATAATGCTACTTCTGAAGAAGGGTCCTCACCCAAAACATCAACTTTCCTGCTCCTCTGATGCTGCCTGGCCTGCTGTGTTCCTCCAGCTCCACGTTGTGTTATCTCTGACTTCAGCATTGGCAGTTCTTACTATCTCTGATGCTATTCTGGCAGTCTGTCAGTTCATTATTAAATGTAATTGTAGCCACTTGTCTTTATGGATAGGTAGAACATTTCAATAAATAGGAAATTAAAAATTTTTCCTGAAGACAAAATCTAAAAGATGGTTAAATAAAATAAGTTGTTCACATTCCAAAACTTGCATTAAATTTACAGCATGGAAACAGGACATTTTGCTCAACTGGTCCACGCTAGAGTCCCTCAATACAAGCCTCCTGCCAGTCTTCATCTAATCTTACCAACATGCCAGCATTTTTCTCCCTCATGTACCTATCTGCCATGCCTTTCAGATATCTGAGGTCCAAGCATTACCTGAACACACTAACATTTGGGACACAGGCGCGCTTGGAGAACGACATATTGCAGTCCATTTCTGCTGCTTGGCCTGCTGTGTTCCTCCAGCTCTACACCTTGTTATCTCTTGCAGTCCATTTGATTGCTTGCACATACTTACAATTTCTTACCACTCCTATCAAAATTGATGCATTGTTTCAGATAGGAAATATACGTGGTGCTGAATGGGAAGCACAGAAATAAATAATACCAATAAAGCTAAAGACAATCTTAGAAAATTGCCAAGCTCTTATACTAAAGTGGGACTGAGAAGAAAAAGCGATGAACTGTTCTAAGATTACAACATCTACAGACGACTGCAGAATCAGCCTTGATGAATAGATTGCTGTTCCTACACGTGATAATCACAAAGACAACAGTCAGTGATGAACGTAAACAAATGACCAGTGAGGCTTACCCAACACAATAGCTGCACACCAGTGTTTGACTAGTTTTACATATGATCGCACACAGTAACATGAAGATAAATAATACTCGACAAAATTGGAGAGATAATCTACCATATGTATTCCAGGGGTTGGTCAACTTCGGTATATAGTTTGAAGATGCTTCTTGAATAATACATGGAAATATATATTTCGACGCTTTCGAGTAGAAGACATTTATTCCTCTTCAAAAATGGCTCACTGTCACGTAAAACTTAGAGTTTCATCCTTTTTTAAATGACAATTGATCTGTCCACTCAAAGTCTAATTAAGATAATGCAAATTGAAACTTTGTTGCCAGTTACAAAAGAATCGGGAGAGAAAGACAAGTCAGGAATCTTTGAAACGCAAAAACTGTTCCATCATTCCCATGACCTGATGGTTTACTTTTGCTACAATGGAAGTAGCAACTATAAACAATAGCTTACCAAACCAAACCAAATACTGAATTAATAAAACACACGGCCCATAGAGTCTGCATGGTGACTTTTTTCCAGCAATATTCAATTCTATAGAATAATACATTTTCCGCGACTTGTGGCCAATGCAGACTGGAGACAACATCACAAGTTTCCATTTCGTTTTCTATTACTGCGAACCTTCAAAAAGGAATCGCTTTTATTAAGGTTACCCTTTACTTGGATTGATGAAACTGGGATTGCCAGTTCCCTGCCCAGTTTTAAAAAAACTTTACGTGAGGTACAGGGAAAAATAAAACACCTTGGGAGTTTGAATGTTTATTCCTGACCCGTTCTATTTATTGAACTCTGGACTCGTTCGGCATTGAAGCATTTCCTCCAACCTGTGGGTATTCCGTGGCTGCCCAGGGAGCGCTCCCTGCCGGTCACTTTCAGCGCAATTAGAAGGCCGGTCTACCGCAGATTTTTAAATCCGTTTTGGAAACAGTCTTTTTGTTCTGAAGTCAAGCATTGGAACTGATCTGGTTGCCGCTGTACCGAGGATTTGGGTTCAGCACAGCTGTCCCAATGGTGGGGGGAGATATCCTTAAGCCCTTTTCTATAGACCACTGTTAGAATGTTCAGACTTACCATTTTGCTTCCTTGGAATTGATGCCGGCTCCGGGAAGAGTTTGCTGCCTAAATCGAGGCGGTGCCAGCTACTGTATGCTCTTCACTGGCGATCCCCTGCTTCTGAGATAGAGTTGAACTCCATCTACTGTCGATCCTGGAGCCCACAGTAGAGGGAGGCATCAACAGGCTGTGGATGGATCCATGTTTCAAAGAGGAAGGGGGGAAAGAGAGACAAGAGAAAAGATGATCAAGTTTTTTTTTGGATGAATCAGTCCTTTTAGCTCCGGGGTGTCCCCAAGCGTTCTGCACTCAGAGAGGGAGGGACGAATGGTGAATGATCGTCCCGGTGAATACGATAACTCTGCCAATCAGTCCATAAATGGAGAAATGTAGCCGAGTGGTGCAGCCAATCGGCTTGTCAGTGTAGCTCGTCACACCATTGGGAATGCGGAGAGGGAGAGGGAGCGAGGTGGAGCCAGTCTCAGGCGGCACCGGCAGCAATGTTCTCAGCCCTGCCCCTGACAAGATGCCATTCAAAACACACACAAAACTTGCTGTCTGTAAGCCAACTGCCGTAAGGTAGAGTGTCTTATCCACACCTATATGATTTACAGTGATTATGTTTCAACTTAATTGGATGTTACGTTTAATTGTCATGAAGCTGATGTATCTTCACTATCATCTCTACGACACCGGCACGTCTACTGTAGATATTTTTAAACAACCCAGCCAGAGACGTTATTACACACCAATTCTTGAACCCAGACATCCTGGCTCAGAGGTAGGGACGCTACCACTGCGCCCACAAGAGCCCTAAGATCTGCTCTATACTTCGGACAATATGTAAACTGCAGGAACTAAAAATAAACGCAGGCAAATCTGAATGACACCAGGGCAGCACTTGCAGTGGGGATGATTACCCCGCTGTCATTTTCAAGAGGTAACATTAGACGGGATCACAAGTCCCCAAAATAGTTCACTCCTTTAGAAAGTCCTCTGATCTCAGGAAAGTACTAGGAACTGATTTCGACAGTTACAAGAAATAGGAGCAGGAGGAGGCAGTTCACTCCCTGGAGCCCATTATTGCTGTTCAATGAGATCAAGATTGATCATTCACCTCAGCACTCGTTCTAGACCCACACTCTAACCAAAGGAAACGTCCTTCCTGCATCTATCTGGTTGAGACATACAAGAACTTCCTTTGTTTCAAGAAAATCACCTTTCATTCTTCTAAACTCTGGAGAATACAGGCCCGGTTTCCTCAATCTTGCCTCACAGGACAGTCTTGCCACCCTGGGAATCAGTCTGATGAACCTTTGTTGCACTCCTTTCATGGCAAGTATATCCTTTCTTAGATAAGGAAACCAGAGTTGCATACAATACTTCAGATGCAGTCTTACAAGGGCTCAATGCAGTTACAACAGGACATCTTTACTCATGTCCTCAAATCCTCCTGGGATAAAGGTGTAAACACATTTGCCTTCTTGATTGCTTGCTAAACATCATGTTAGCTTTCAGTGACTCACCAACAAGAACACTTTTAGGCACCAATACTTCTCAAACTGTCACTATCTAAGAAATAATATGCATTTCTGTTTTTCCTATGAAAGTGGATAACTTCACGTTTCTGATTTTATAATCGATCTGCCAGGTTCTTGCCCATCCAGTCCACCTATCTAAATCCCCTCAACAAATGTGGAAATATTACATTGGGTTCCCATGTACAAATCATGGTAGAGATATTACGTTTAATTATAAACAAACAGAATTGAGCATTGCAATCCCTGTGATAATAAAACAGAGAATTTGACTCATTCCTTCACCAGGGTTAATTACTTGTTGTGAGGAATGGAAATTGTGATGCGGATTTACACTGGGAATGTGATCCGCCTTCTCTCTTTCCAGCATTCTCATTTTCCCAGCAGTTTATTACTTACCAGACAATAACAATTGACAACATATGACCCTAAGTGTATTTCTGTGTATGGTGGTGGTGGGGAATGGAGAGGTTAGATTACAAATATGTACTTACATTTTACTGAATTCTGAATAAGACTTTTAAAAGTACTTGAGATACAGTAACATTTACCCAATTCCACCTCTACCAAGAAGGGCATGGTTAAAATATGTCCTTCAGTTCTGAATTCTGCTCAACTGTTTTATCCTCAAAACAGTATTATTTTTACAAAAGCAAAACACTTTAGAAGTTGGAAATCTGAATAAAAATGCTGGAAATACTCAGCCAGTCTAGTAGCATCTGTGGAGTGAGAAACAGAGCTAACAACTCAGCTTGAATATATCCAGATCTAAACAGTTTTTTTTTTAAAAAATTAACTCTTTGTAAATCAAACCCTTTTGAGATACTCTCGTCTCGTGTCCTCTTTCACACTTAGGCGTTAAATAAGATGAAAGGTTGTATTAATATTAATACTTCAAGGTTTGAAAAATTCACAATGGTTCTTCTCTCTTCAGTAACAACATGCAATTATCTGATGAAAGGCACCCACCTGAAACACTGAGATAACAAGGTGTAGAGCTGGATTGAACACAGCAAGCCAAGCAGCATCAGAGGAGCAGGAAAGCTGATGTTTCGGGTCGAGACCCTTCTTCAGAAAATCCACCTGAAACACTTCTGTGTTTCTCTCTCTGCACATACTGTCAGATCAGCTGAGAATTTCCAGCATTGTCCATTTAATTTTTCATCACCTTGTGTATGTGTGTGTGTTTTCCCAGACCCAAGTTTCCCTCAAAATCACACCAAATTGGCATGGGCTTTTTGGTTTTCTCTGTAGTGGTGATATGTCCAAAGACAGGTCCTTTGTTCAGTTCTTCATGCCTCACAGCCCTGCTCTTTTCTCTTCGTTTGCTTGTAAGAGCCACCCATTTTCAATTTCATTGAGTAATATACAAACATGAGTTGGAATCAGGAGTAGGTCATTCATCTCCTTGAGCCTGCTCTGCCATTGATAAGATGATGGCCAATCTGATTGTGGCCTCAGTTCTACTTTCCTGCCTACCCCTAATAACCTTGAATTCCTTGATAATTAAGAAACTATCTAACTCAACCTAAAAAAAAAGACTGGGGAAAGGAAAGCTTAAAGAAAACACAAGTAGTCTTCTCAAAGGATCCTGTACTTATAAGCAACCATTATCTGTTGCGGTTCCAGCTTTTCCACAATCATTGCCTGAAATTTACTGGTTCTACCATTGTTTCCTAATCCTATTCATGGGATCCTCATCTATAGGCCTCAGGCAATTCACAAAAAGGCAGAAACAACCACCCAGGGATAGTAGGAACTGCCAATGCTGGAGAATCTGAGACAACAAGGTGTAGAGCTGGATGAACACAGCAGACCAAGCAGCATCAGAGGAGCAGGAAAGCTGACGTTTC